TCTTCCGCCATTCGGGGCTCTGAGCGGGGAACCCGATAGAAGAGGAAGAATGTAGCTTGGCGGGAACCCTCCCCCGGCACGCCCCAGTGTCCTCGCACCTACAGGGACCTCGAAGGGGAATCGTGTGCCCACCCGTGTCCTCCCGGCAGGCCTCAGCCCCGTCGAGATCCCGGACAGGCGACACCTTGAAACCTGAGAGGCCATAGCTGGCCCACCCCAAGTCGAGACCATCCCTGACAGGTCTGGCCAACCGGCTCTTCAATATCTCCAGGGATTGTGCCCACCCGTGTCCTCCCGGCAGGCCTCAGCCCCGTCGAGATCCCGGACAGGCGACACCTTGAAACCTGAGAGGCCATAGCTGGCCCACCCCAAGTCGAGACCATCCCTGACAGGTCTGGCCAACCGGCTCTTCAATATCTCCAGGGATGGAGATTCCACACCCCCCCCTAGGCAACTTATCCCGGTGTTTTACCACCCGGACAGGCAGGAAATTTTTCCTAATGTCCAACTTTCGAGAAGGTCAGGGGTGTGCCGACGGAACCATAGCAACACCTCCCCCCACCCAAAGCATGCCGTTAACCTGCGGAACTCCTTGCCAGAGGATGAAGGGCAGGACTTCAATAGGGTTCAAAAAAAGAGCTAGATAGATTCATGGAGGTTAGGGCCCGTCAATGGCTGCTAGCCAGGATGGCTAGAGAAGGCGTCCCAAGCCTGTTTCTTTGGGAATGGGCGACAGGGGAGGGATCTGTGAGGATTCCCTGTTCTAGTCACTCCCCCTGGCTAATAACTAGTGATGAACCGGTCCTCCATGAACGCATCTAGGTTTTCTTCGAATGTTGTGAACATCCTGGTCTTCCCAATATCCTGAGGCAAGGAGTTCCACAAGTGGTGTGCGTGCTGGGGCACCTGGCATTGGCCACTGTCGGCAGAGAGGACCCCGGCTGGATGGGCCTTTGGTCTGACCCAGCCTGGCTGTTCTTAGGGGAGCACCCCGCTCTCCCAGTCAGTGTGGGGTGCAGTCAGTACAGTTTTCAGACACATTTTCATTTCTTCCAGTGCAACACGTTTGTTTAAACAACTTCATCATAGCCAGGCGGGCAGTGAAATTTTCGGGTGTAAAAAGTATGAAAAGAAAAAAGAAATTCCGTCTTCTCCACATTTCAGTGGTGTGAACGTACCCCCCGGACTTCTCTTAAGAGTCCCCGTACCCCTGTTCCCAACCTTTTCCTCTCTGGGGCACCTGGTGTTGGCCGCTGTGGGCAGACAGGATACTGGGCTAGAAGGACCTTTGGTCTGACCCAGTCCGGCCGTTCTTATGTAGGAAGACTTGGTGACCCAAGGCCATTCCATTCAAAAACGGGGGGAGGGGGGAGGGGCAGAACCACCTGGGGAGACGCTTGGCGACCCTTTGGAAATGGAATGGCGACCCATATTTGGGTCACGACCCATAGGTTGGGAAAGTCTGATCTAGACCTTGCATCGTTGTTGTTGCTCTTCTCTGGACCGTCTCCAATTTCTCCACCTCTTCCACGAAATGATCAAACTGGGTGAATCGGATGAGGTTCGACAAGGACACCATTCCTACCCATCCTGGCTAATAGCCATTGATGGACGTGTCCTCCAGGAATTTATCTCGCTTTTTTTTGAGCCCTGTTAAAGTCCTGGCCGTCACAACATCCTCTGGCGAGGAGTTCCATAGATTAACTGTGCACTGCATGAAGAAATGCTTCCTTTTGGTTGTTTCAAATCTGCTACCTATTCATTTCAGTTGGTGATCCTTAGTCCTTGTGCTATGAGAGCAAGTAAATAACTTTTCCTTATCTACATTCTCCACACCGATCATAATTTTATAGACCTCTCTCCTATCCCCCCTCGGTCTCCTCTTTTCCAAGCTTAAAAATCCCAGTCTTTTTAATCTCTCTTCAGATGGGAGCCGTTCCAAACCCCTCCTCATTTTTGTTGCCCTTTTTCCAATGCCGATATCTTTTTTGAGATGAGGCCACCACATCTGTGTACGCAGAATTCCAGATGTGGGTGTCCCGTGGATTTCTACCGAGGCAGTAAGATATTCTCTGTCTCATTTTTTAATGATTCCGAATGTGGTTCGCTTTTTTGACGTGCAGAATAAATTTTGTTCCACGCGCACCAGCCGCAGAAACACAAAAAAGCATGGGTGGGAGCGCGCGGCTAATCAGCAATCCCTCTAATTTTTCCCCACGTGTGTGCAGAATAAATTTTGTCTCTCCTGCCCAGGGATGTGCACCAGCCGCAGAAACACAAAAAAGCATGGGTGGGAGCGCGCGGCTAATCAGCAATCCCTCTAATTTTTCCCCACGTGTGTGCAGAATAAATTTTGTCTCTCCTGCCCAGGGATGTGCACCAGCCGCAGAAACACAAAACATGACTGGGAGCGTGAACAGTAGAACATAAGCTTTCATGTGACACCTCACATGGCCCCCTTTGTATACACTTTGGGGCAAATACCCCCCCCCCTATGGGTGCAGCAGTGATCTGGCTGCTCCCCTTAAAATTCAGGAACGTGACAGCTTAACATTCAGCGACCCCTCTCAGTTTTCCCCACATGTGGGCAGAATAAATTTTGTTCCATGCACCGAGGGGTGTGCGCCACCCGCAGGAACACAAAACATGGCTGGGAGCGCGCGGCTAATCAACAATCCCTCTCGTTTTTCCCACATGTGTGCGGAATAAATTTTGTTCCACGCGCCAAGGGGTGTGCACCACCAGCAGAAACACAAAACGTGGCTGGGAGGACTTGGCTAATCAGCAATTCCTCTTGTTTTTCCCCACGTGTGTGTGTGTGGAATAAATTTTGTTCCATGCACCAAGGGGTGTGCACCACCCGCAGAAACACAAAATATGGCTCAGACCACTCGGCTAATCAGTGATCCCTCTTGTTTTTTGATGTGCATGTTGCTTAGCACCGTTGTCTCGGCTAAGCGCTACCTCAATACAAATAAATAACGGCAATTCCTCTTGTTTTTCCCCACGTGTGTGTGTGTGGAATAAATTTTGTTCCATGCACCAAGGGGTGTGCACCACCCGCAGAAACACAAAATATGGCTCAGACCACTCGGCTAATCAGTGATCCCTCTTGTTTTTTGATGTGCATGTTGCTTAGCACCGTTGTCTCGGCTAAGCGCTACCTCAATACAAATAAATAACGCTTATCGTGTTACTTCAGCGAGATGAGTACTTCCGGTGTAACCAGCTAGCACTTTTTTTAACCGAGAATATTAGCTTTGGAGTTAATCTAATTCTCTGTCCTTTGTGCAGCTCGGATTTTTGGCACAGAAACAGAGATACAGGGAGGCGTTTGACGGGGCCCCGATTAATTGTAATTACACCAGCGTTTCCGATCGGAGAATCGTGGCCTTTTATTCCCCCCCAAAATGATTCGGTGGGGAAAAGCCCAGAGAAGCACCTTTGCAGCGAGTGAGTTCTGGAAAAGTGTTGTATGTGCGGGATATTAGATACGAGAGGACTCCAAAGATCAACTAGATCTCTAACTTTATTATACACAGGAAAGGAAAGAAATGCAGAGTTACGTCAATTCATTCCAGTGAATGGAATAAGTAGCACAGACAATATAATAAATCCTACACCTAGAACCGTAGAGCTGGTCCCTGACTTACGAACGAGTTACGTACCAAACACTAGGTCGTAACTCGATCTGTTCGTAAGTCGGATTACGTTCACTTACGTACGACCGCACTGCTCATAAGTGCGGATTTCGTTCGTAACTCGGGGACCGGCCGTGTAGGAGGTTAGTCGTCAATACGAATGGTCAAAAGTCGATGCGTGCGTAACTCGGGAACTGGCTGTATTCAAGGTTGGTCATCAATACGAACGGTCGAAAGTCGATGCGTGCGTAACTCGGGAACCGGCTGTATACGAGGTTGGTCGTAAATATGAACAGTCGTAAGTCGATGTATTTGTAACTCAGGGATCAGCTGTATAGGAAGTTGGTCATGCCTATATGAACAATCGTTAGTCGATGCATTCGTAATTCGGGGACCAGCTGTATAGGAGGTTGATCGTAAATACGAACGGTCATAAGTCGACACGTTTGTAATTCGGGGACTGGCTGCATAGGAGGTTGATTGTAAATACGAACGGTCGTACGTCGATGCATTCGTAACTCAGGGACTGGCTGTAGAGGAGGTTGGTCGTAAATATGAACGGTCTTAAGTCGACGTGTTTGTAACTCAGGGATCGGCTGTATAGGAGGTTGGTCATATATACGAACGGTCATAAGTTGATAACGTTCGTAACTCAGAGATCGGCTGTACACAAGATATTTAACTTCGCAGATATAAACAGGCATGTTCTTATTAAATCACACACACACAGTTCCACCGTTTGCAACTTACAATTGTCAGACGGAAGGTTGCGGTCTCTTTCTTTCCCCAGAAATAGTGACAGTCGCAATGCATTTGCCAGTAGGAACAGCCACCGTATCCTTATAGAAAAGATGGCCCGCAACCGTGGTTAGTCATGTTCGTGGTTACGCCGATCCCGACCGCGCCTCCACCATATTTTGCACTCAGGCAGATGTTCAATCAAAATGGTAATTAACAAGCAGCATGCGGCATGATGCTGCTGAAATCTACCAGGGCCGTGGATAGCAAAATGTACGGGAACTTTTTATCTGTCGGTTCACGAGATCTTTAAAAACCGTGGCTCTTTGGACAGTCATAGGAAGTTGTTCAGAGATGACGTGCGTTTGTGCCAGTTGGATTGTGTCCTTTTTTTGCGCAATATTTTGTTATCTCCTCTATGTAGGTAGAGGCTCCAAATTCTGTAAATTAGGGGCTGTTCTCACGCCAGACGGCAGGAGTAAACTGCTATCTGTCGGTTCACGAGATCTTTAAAAACCGTGGCTCTTTGGACAGTCATAGGAAGTTGTTCAGAGATGACGTGCGTTTGTGCCAGTTGGATTGTGTCCTTTTTTTGCGCAATATTTTGTTATCTCCTCTATGTAGGTAGAGGCTCCAAATTCTGTAAATTAGGGGCTGTTCTCACGCCAGACGGCAGGAGTAAACTGCTATTATTGGTGGGATCGCAAGTCTCAGCATGAATTTGCACCTATAAAAACAGCATAAGAACGGCTAAACTGAGTCAGAGCAATGGCCGATCCATTCCAGGGTCCTGTCTGCCCACAGTGGCCAATGCCAGCGCCAGAGGGAGTGAACAACTGGAATCAAGTGATCCCTCTCCTGTCACCCATTTCCAGACAAACAGAAGCTAGGGACACCATTCCTACCCATCCTCGCTAATAACCATTGATGGACATGTCCTCCAGGAATTTATCTCGCTCTTTTTTGAGCCCTGTTAAAGTCCTGGCCGTCAAAACATCCTGTGGCAAGGAGTTCCGTAGATTAACTGTGCACTGCATGAAGAAATGCTTCCTTTTGGTTGTTTCAAATCTGCTACCTATTCATTTCAGTTGGTGATCCTTAGTCCTTGTGCTATGAGAGCAAGTAAATAACTTTTCCTTATCTACATTCTCCACACCAGTCATAATTTTATAGACCTCTCTCCTATCCCCCCTCGGTCTCCTCTTTTCCAAGCTGAAAAATCCCAGTCTTTTTAATCTCTCTTCAGATGGGAGCCGTTCCAAACCCCTCCTCATTTTTGTTGCCCTTTTTCCAATGCCGATATCTTTTTTGAGATGAGGCCACCACATCTGTGTACGCAGAATTCCAGATGTGGGTGTCCCGTGGATTTCTACCGAGGCAGTAAGATATTCTCTGTCTCATTTTTTAATGATTCCGAATGTGGTTCGCTTTTTTGACTGCCGCTGCACACGGCGTGGACGTTTTCGGAGAACTAGCCACCATGACTCCAATATCTCTCTCTTGTCTCTCACCGATATGGTGATATTTTGAGATGTAATAAAGTAAGCATCAGGTCATGATGAAGACTGCTGAAAACCCTCATTTTACACCTGTATGGTGGACGGCTATTTTTTAACTACCCCCTTCTCTCTTTTGGGTGTGGTTTTATCGCCTGAGTGGTTCAAACCAAATTCAGACTACGTCATCTTATCGCAATTGACTTAATAAAGCACCATGTGAGTTTCCGCTTCGTCTTGAGAGTCGCTGGTATCAAATGTAAACGATACTGGTTTCTTTCACGTCGTTGGACCATGACGCCACGAAACGACATGCAACCTGAAAAACAGTGACCCTGTCAGGCAGAGGCGTAGCGAGGGTGTTATGCGCCTGGGAGCAAAGGCCAAATTTGCCGCCCCCCGCCGCTAATTCAGCCGACGCAGACCTCCAGACAGATCCTTGCGGCAGTCACAACACCGCTGCTAACTTTGGCGCCATTGAGACTGACAAGGATCATACAGATGAATGTTGACAGAAGCAGGTGTAACTCTGGTGAATTCAATGCAGATGCACCTGTTTACACAAGCAACGGCTTTAATCTAGGTCTACAGAAACAAAAGGCCTCATATATCCCAAATATTTAGGGCACATCTACAATTTCTGCAGAGATCAAATGCTCTGAGGTTGATCTTCCAGTGTTCAATTTAGCAGGTCTAGTAAGGCCCGTTAAATGGAACACAGAGGGCACCCCCATTGACCCCGGAACTCCTTGCAGTCACGAGGAGTAAGGGAAATTGACAGAGTTTCTCCTGTAGACCTGCTATGGGGCCTCCCCAGAAAATCGATGCAAGGTACATCTACTCCAGATGTGCAATTCACACAACTCCAGTTATGTGATCTTGCATCAATTTTCTCTGCCAATATAGACCTTGCCTTAGTCTAGTTCAGTGTTTCTCAATTGGTGGTATGAGTACCCTTAGGGGTACTCGAAGTCTGGGGGGTATGTCAACACAACTGAAATTTGGAGAAAACTGAATTTTTGTTTTAAGTTTTACAGCGTTTTATTATTTTTGTACTTTTTACACCCCAAAATTTCATCGTCTGCATGGCAATGCTGAAGTTCTTTAAACAAATGTTCGGCAATGGTTCCGCCGCTAATTCAGCCGACGCAGACCTCCAGACAGATCCTTGCGGCAGTCACAACACCGCTGCTAACTTTGGCGCCATTGAAAGCAGCAAAAAATCATATCAAACGCTTCAGAGGGGGAGCCAAGTGAGTCCGTAACAGGAAAAACGTAAAAACAACGATTAGTTCACCTTAAAGATTAACCGCACATGTAGATGGATGTCTGCACTTTAGTTGTCAGCAGTCTGCAAGTATTTATTTTATTTAAAATATTTTCCCCCCGCCTCTCTATTTAAAATATATGAAGCGGCTTATCACATTTTAAAAACACAATAAACAAATATACATATGCAAGTAAAATACAGAACCCCAAAGAGGGAGAACGTAAAACCTGCTAAAACGCTAAACCTGTTTTAAGGAGACTGGTCCCGTCAGAAGTATTGACCGCACACTAAAAGTCCAGTTACCGTCATTTTCTGGCGTCCTGTAGCAAATAAAACCTGAAACTAGCATCATGTATCTGTCGCCAATATATTTCAGTGTTTCTCAAGCAGTGGTACGTGTACCCTTAGGGGTACTCGAGACGTTTGGAGGGTACGTCCACACAACTGAAATTTGGAGAAAACGGAGTATTTGTTTTCAGTTTTACAGCGCTTCATTAGTTTTATACTTTTTACACCCCAAAATTTCATCGTCTGCCTGGCTAAGATTAAGTTGTTTAAACAAATGTGTTGCAATGGTAGAAAAATGTTTTGTGTGTCTGAAAACTGTTGGTACTGGTAGTACACAGGGGTACTTTCTAAAAAAAAAAGGTTAAGAAACGCTGCTATATTTGATCGAATCTTCGAATGGCTTTTGCAGTGCCAAACTGCAGGCAGGGGAAAGCAGCTGGCTTTTAACGAGTTAAACGCCTAGCATCGGCGGTCAACTCCCTTGGTAGCGCCGTGGTGTCCACAGTCGACACGGTGTTAGCTCTGGGCAGGACTATGCTGCTTTCGCCCCAGCTAGAACGATTCTGTGGCTGGCCGCTGCGATCGATAAATTCTTCATCAAGGTGGATCCTGGCGAAGAACAAGACACGTGCCCAGCTGAATTGCTTTTAACGTATCACAGAGTTAAGTTGCTGCTCTCAAGAGTGTGAAAATCAGCTCTCCCGCTTGATTTTCACCCATTCCTGTGTGGCTGCCAGACTTCTCACCGAAGGAGAAAAGCAAAGGCTTTGATTGAGACCGTCTTAACCCCCCAGCTGCTGAAAATGGCCGTGCAAGTCATTGGATCAGCACCGTTCTCCGACGCTTCTATTAAAGGGAACGCTGAATTATTCCCATTTGTTGCCCGTTACTTTAATAAAGATAAGGGAAGCTGCACAGATCCTACACTGGATTAAGGACGCAGAGGGGACATCAGAGACGACCACAAACAACGTAAGAGATGGTCTTCAAAATGCCGGCCGAATGCATAACACAATTGCATCCGATGGAGCGGACAATGCGTCTGTCAGTTTTGCAGCTGTTTGGCTGCACTTAAAACGAAGGCTGGATTTACCGAACCTGGTGCCGGGGCTTTGCAGTGTGCATATAGTGCCCAACAAGTGAAACATGGCTTGAAAACGCTTGTCGATCGTGTACTTGACTTCCAGTGGAAAGAATTTTGGCGAACTTAGAGAGTTCGTTGGCTTCCTCGAGACAGACGATTCTGAAATCTTAGGCCGCGTCCCGACACGGTTTTTGACCCTTTTCCCTGCAGTAGATCGGTTACCACAGAGCGGGCCAGCGCTCAAATCTTTGTGAGCCAAGGAAAGGCCGTGCAATATGGGCCTTTTTTCCGGAGCAGGAGGATGCTGTATCCGATGATGAATTTCTTAAGTTTCCTGAGTTGGACGTCTACTTCGTGGGCCACGTTCTGAGCCACGTTCACAAGACCCTAAAGGTTCTCGAAAGTGATTCGACTCAGGTCATGAGGTGAGGGATTCAGGTTCAACAAGAGCAAGGCTTCTCTGGGTACAAGCTGGCCCGGCTCTTGAAGAAACTGCCCACCTCATGCGCAGAATAAATTTGTTGGGAGGTGCCCAGCGGGCCCACACCCGCATGCTCCAGTCCTTCGCCGCATGGTTTGATTTCCGCGAAAACGTTCTGTGCGCCCTGCGTCATCCGGATGGATGACAAACTGTGTGTTTTGACTACACTCTTGGGTGTTTGAGTGGGTGTAGAGAAATTATTTACAGAAACGCACATATCGAATGCCTTGCTACCCACTCTAGGCATTGTCTCAAGTCCCACAAGCGTACCGCCATCGAACCAATGTCTCTGAGGGATGGGTTGAACTCTCTAAGTGCCACGAGGCCCTGGATGTACTAAAAATCGTGCAGCACGGGCTTGTTCAAACTCTTTCGACTTCTCCTGGTGCCTGTCGGGCCTTGCAGTGAAAATGAGCGAGTGAGCAAGAATGGCGGAGAGCGAGCGACAGAGGGAGAGGGGAAGGAGGGAGCTGTGGTCTGTGCCTGTCTCTGAGGGATGGGTTGAACTCTCTAAGTGCCACGAGGCCCTGGATGTACTAAAAATCGTGCAGCACGGGCTTGTTCAAACTCTTTCGACTTCTCCTGGTGCCTGTCGGGCCTTGCAGTGAAAATGAGCGAGTGAGCAAGAATGGCGGAGAGCGAGCGACAGAGGGAGAGGGGAAGGAGGGAGCTGTGGTCTGTGCCCAGGGAAGGGGCGGGGCATGGGCGGCCTCAGGACGGGGGGGGGCGGGGCTAGCTTGTTCTGTTCTCTGCTGTTAGAAAGTGGCAGAGGGGTAGCTGAGTTTGGTGGAAGTTTTTCCTGTTACTGACTAACTCGATATAGACCATTTGCATGAGCAGGGCTCGACAAATCATGGTGAGTAGATTACAAGCCAGCACAGCCGGCGCCGCACGATGTGCGCACGCGCAGCTCGCAGAACCGTGCAGCTGGCAAGTGAGGTTCGCCGCCGCTTGGTGAGCTCTGTGCATGAGAGTTCAACTTGTTTTTTAAGTTAGAAAGTTGGTAACTCGACTTCCAAAGTCCTCAGGGGGGTCTGCTTCATCGTAGCCTGGTCAGAGTTGTTCCTGGCACTCTCGACACTTGGCAACAGGTTCCTCTCCTACCGACCTCCCTGCCGCCGATTATTCATATAGGTTGTGGTGTCCAGATCTGCCCCCTTCTCTGTCTCCCTTGGGCAAGGGTTGGGGGAGGGCTTTGCTCCTGGTTTTTTTAGTCTCGCCATTGCTCTTTGGGTGGGTTTCTCTCCTGTCTCCCCAGCTCCGGGAATGACTCATGTTTGGATTCTCTCTCTGTCCCAGCAGGTGAGGGCATGAGGAGGGAGGATGTGGAAGAGAGTCCCCACCAGCAAGACCCTGAGCACATCGGAACTCCCGGGACGTTTTGGGGAAGATGGGAAGGGACAGGAGGCTGGAGTCCAGAGCGTGGAAAAGCTGCCGGGTACCCGCCCAGGCCAGAGAGTGAGCAGGGAAACCAGCTAGGGAAGGGAGCGGGCGAATCCATTCCCTGTAAGGATGGTTTGAATCGTAACTCCCCGACACAGCAGAGATTCTCCGGCGAGGAGGGAGAAAACACAGGCCCCGAGTGCAGGGAAAGCGTCGGTCGGAGCTCACAGCGTCTTACCCGCCCGGGAGAGAGACCCCACCTGTGTCTCCAGTGTGGGGCAAGCTTCCCGGACAGCCCAGCCCTGAAGCTGCATCAGCGAAGCCACGCGGGAGACAAACCCTTCAAATGTCCCGACTGCGGGAAAAGCTTCCGGGAGCGTTCCCACCTCTCGAGCCACCAGCGCGTCCACACGGACACGAAAACCTTCATCTGCTCCCAGTGCGGGGAGACCCTCTGCCGCTGGTCGTCCTTTCTGCGCCATGAGAGAATCCACACCGGCGAGAGACCGTACAGCTGCACCGAGTGCCAGGAGAGCTTCCGGGATAAGTCGGGGCTGCTGCGGCACCAGACGACCCACACGGGCGAGAAACCCTACAACTGCGAGGACTGTGGGAAAAGCTTCAGTTGGCGCTCCAATCTTACCAACCACCAGAAAATCCACACAGGGGAGAGACCTTTTCAGTGCCTCAAGTGCGGGAAAAGTTTCAGTCAGAAATCCACCTGCAGAAGACATCTGAGGACCCACTGGGGAGAGAGTGAATAATTGCCTGGTTGATGTGAATTTACCAGAGCAGCTGCCCCACTCAAGCTAAACTGGAGACTCGCTCCTTTTTTACTTGCCCGTTTTAATGGGTGCTCTGAAGTCCACATGTGGATTGTCTTGGGAAATATGAGTCTCGTTTTGGGTGGATGAGAAATCGTGCTCGCACGGTCTAGCGTTTCTTGGACCCAACTCCCCCCGTTAGGAGCTGCTCCTACTGTTCAGCTTGTTCGGAAACCCGGCGCAAACTAACCCCCTGTGAAAAATAGGAAATACAACTTCAGAGGACGTGCTACCTCCCACAACATCACCTTAACTCTGCCCGCTTTGAGCGACGAGCCAACGCACACAGGCGCGCTGTTCCGTTACGGGTTGAAACGTGGGATTTGCAGCGAATGTTTCACACACAGTTCAGGCGTGCGTGAGTTTACAACACAAGGCACGGTGGATCCGGGGTTAAGGGAAACAAGAAAGCATAATACACATTAAAAATAATTCATGTTACCCACCTTGCCCCGGATACAGGGTGTGCGGATGTGTTTAAAACTCAGTCAGTAAAAGTTCTCGGGGGTGCCACCCACAAAGCGAAAGGCGTGTTTGTCTCTGGCAAGGTTCATAGGCTCAAGGGTGGAGCCCGCCCCCATTACGATCACTACAGACCCTCTCCGCAATAGGGGCAGTGTGGGGCACAGTCTTCTGGTGTAGATCAGGTACAGCGAGCGGCTGCCCCTTTCTCACACACACACACACACCAAACCTCCTCCATGCAAAGCACCGCTGTGAGATGTCCCCATGTCTTCGCCGCCGCCGCCCTGCGGGTTCCCTCTGTAAACACGGTGACCCCACAGTGGCCTATACCAGCAGACGGATGACCCTCTTGCATCACTACCCTCCCGGTGTATTTCTACTGACAAGGCCTCCGGGACTCAGCGTCGTACAACTGACCTTGTTAAATTTCCCCGGCACCTCTTCTCATCTCGTGGCGCCAGCCCACGGCACCTTCGGGTGCAGCGCCGCCTCCCACAAGTGAAGACAGACAAGCGTTTGCAGAAAAAGTCTCGGATTCGCAGCTACAGAATACAACACAAGCAAGGGGATGTTTTCGGAGTCTGCCTGTCTCTGCGCTCCCAGCGGCTGTTGCCACCTCTGAGGGGCAGAGTTAAGGTTACGGCGTGAGGATGACATTTCCCTTTGTTTCTTGGGGGTTCGAGGTGTATGTTTGGCCACTCCCCGCCTTGCGGAAGGGCACGAGGTAGTGCCAGGCAACTTGAGCACTGAAGGAACTAAGTTTTTGGAGAGTTAATAAAATTGCCGGTTCCACAGATGTCACTGTTTGACTTGACAGCATCTGGTGCCACCTCTCTGGCGTGGGGAGACTGTGGCCAGCTCCAGTCTGCTCAGCCCTGCTCCAGTTCGGCCTGTTTAGAAAAGAAACAGCCTTGATCGACCCCTCTCCATGCTGCTGCTGTCCCGGCTCCGGAGAGTCGTCCTCAGCTGGGATCTTCTCCCTCCTCTCATCCGGTTCCCCGGCCTGTATCCTAGTGGCTGGGCATCCCAGAAGCCTTTTGTGCCCTTTCTTCACAAGACCCCCCCAGGGACCAGGGGCGATTAGGGATGAGGAGAGATGGGTGAGGGGCAGGGCAGAGCCTGTGTGTGGGCCCAGGGGGGTGGGAAGCGAGGGGCTGAGTGTGTTGGGTGGAGAACTCGCGGCCCAGGAGGTCACCGCGAAGGGGAGGGGGGCTGTGGCCAGAGCCGACTCGCGGAGCAGAAGCAGAGACGGCGTTTTCCCAACGGCCGGGGACTCCCCTGCGGCAGGGAGCCGGCCGCCTGCGGAGCTGCTAACGCAGTGGGGAGATTTACAATTAATGTGGATAAGTGTAAAGTAATGCACGTTGGAAAAAATAACCCAATGTTAACCCAGTATGATGGGGGCTAATTTGGCTACGACAAATCAGGAAGAGATCTTGGAGTTATCGTGGACAGTTCTCTGAAAATTTCCACGCAGTGTGCAGCGGCGGCCAAAAAGGCAAATAGGATGCTAGGAATTATTAAGAAAGGGATAGAAAATAAGACCCAGAATATCTTACTGCCCCTGTATAAAACTATGGGACGCCCACATCTGGAATACTGTGTACAGATGTGGTCTTCTCAGCTCAAAAAAGATATTTTGGCCTTGGAAAGGGTTCAGAAAAGGGCAACTAAAATGATGAGGGGTTTGGAACGGGTCCCATATGAGGAGAGGTTAAAGTGACTGGGACCTTTCAGTTTAGAAAAGAGGAGACTGAGGGGGGATAGGATGGAGGTCTATAAAATCATGAGTGGTGTGGAGAGGGCGGATAAAGAATAGTTATTTATTAGTTCCCATAATAGAAGAACTAGAGGTCACCAAATGAAATTAATGGGTAGCCGGTTTAAAACTAATAAAAGGAAGTTCTTCTTCACCCAGCGTGTAGTCAACCTGTGGAACTCCTCGCCGCAGGAGGCTGTGAAGGCTAGGACTATAACAGAGTTTAAAGAGAAGCTGCTTTTCTGCGCACAGGGGAGGTGGTGTGCCTCAGCTGCTCCCGGGAGGTGGGGGGGACTCGGTGGTGGGCCTTTTTCTTTCCTACGTGGGCCCGTTTTGGTGGATCTTTTACCTCCTCCACTCTGGGTCGTCCTGGTCCCAGAACTGTCTGCTGCCGCCCCCTGTCTCGGTACTTCCTGCTGGGGAAGGGACCCTGCCTCCCTGGACAGACACGGGCACAGCTGGGATGGGTTTCTTCCACCCCAGCCCCGTCTAAACCCCAGGATTCCTCTCCGCCCTTCTCCTGCATCCGGCCAGTGCGTCCCTTGTTCGCAGATCTCCGCTCGACTTTCTGCAGTCCCTACTGCCCAGCCTCTGGGTCCCCCCTTTGGCCCTGGCTGCCCCCCTCCTGGCCTGACCCCACAGTACCCCAGCTGGGACCCTCCCCTGCCTCTCTCCCACCGGCCTCAGCTGCAGCTTGCACCTCGGGGAGACCAGAACCGGAGTTACACTGGGTTCTCGCGGTGCGCCCCTCCCGGGCCCCATGGCGCTTCTGCAGAGCAATCAGACGGGCCCGGGGCCAGAGCAGCAGGGCTGGGAGTTTCCCTATGGAAAGGAGGCTCAGCCCCCCCGACACAGGCACCCTTCCCCCGCTATGGGGTCCCGGCCCGTATTCCTCATCGCGAGGAGTTCCGCTCATCCGAGCTGTGCCCGGAGCTCACCGCATGGGAGACGGGTCGGCCTGAATCGGCGTCCCCCACTCCCGGAGCGTTTCCCAGGCTCATTCAGCCAATGGCTTTGCATCAGCCCAAGAGACTTGCGTGCCGCATCGGGGGGAGCCCCGGGACCAGGCGAGGGGCTGAATTCTGGCCACTGCTTGCTCCTGGCCCGCTCGGCACTTCTGGGGCTCTTTTTACACCCCTCACTGGCCTTCATTCCCCCCTTTGTTCTGGTTAGGACTCGCTAAGGGACCATGCTGGGGACTCACGGACCCCGGTGTGTTCCCGCTAATCTTTTCCATCCAGATGCGGATTTTCCCCCGGTGCAGAATAAATTTTGTTCTGTGCACCAAGGCATGTGTGAATGTGCACCACAAGAAGAAACACTAGCCCTACGGTGGAGGCCCTGCGAACTAGCTGGCTGGCGTTCGAATCTCTCCTGAGCGTCTGTCCCCATGCCCAATGTACAGGGAATATTTGTGCCTTGTTATTCATATCCTGCAGTCAGTGCTTTTTTTGTGATGGTACTGTCAGAGCTTACCTGGAAAGAATGGAGAGTATTGGCACCCTGGTACGCAGATGTCTGACGGTCGGCAGGGCCGCGTGTCTTAAAGGGTACGCGTGTCTTAAAAGGGCAACGCCAGCCCCACCCTGGCTTTTTTTTTTTTTTTGCCCAAGTCTTTTTTTTTTTTTTTTAACAGAAAAAGCACTGCCTGCGGTGTATCCCAAACAGGCCCATGCACATGGCCCCCGCCTGAGACGCTCACACTTCTGCACAGCTCCTGGGCACGGAGCCATGTTGAAATACTCCCCAGAACAGAGGGAGGGGCGGAGAAATTTTCATAGAGCTGCAAGAGACCTCAGGAGTCATCAAGTCCAGCCCCCTGCCCAAGGCCCCATCGCTGACCCATCCCGAAGGTGGGAGGGGGGACACGTTTTCTTGCTCTTCCCACCCCTCCCTCTGTAGTCCGGAGACCAAATCGCACACACAACTGAGTCCTTCGTTTTAGTTCCTCAAAGGTTTGGCAGCCTGGTATTTGGGGGTACGACCCAAACTCATGGCTGACCCGTGAGGTCATAAAAACGTTTTGTCGGGGGAAGCAGCGTTTTAGAATCACTTCTCCCTATATGGGACCGAGGTAACGAAAGGGAGCCAGAGAACTGGAATGAAATAAAGGGGACTGTGTGATTTATTTTTTGAGCTTCTTGATAACCCGTATCGGGGATTAGGAGGCCATAGGGGACTGGTGGAAGAGTTTAATTTCCGGGTTATCTAACCGTTTTTGAAAAATGTCTTCCTATGTTGCAACCTGTTTTGAGTGTGCGTTTTGTGTCATACATCCTCTCTGATTTTCCATCTCTCCTCTAAAATTCTCTCAGTTGGAAGATACAATCTCTTCCAGTATTCCCCATTTTCCCCTCCAATAATCATACATCGCGGTAATCTACATCAGCCTTTTCCCTTTCCTCACTTGGGGTACGTCCGCACCACAGGGCGAAAGTCCAATGAAGCGACCCAACTTGACCTGCACCCCTTGCGTAGCGGAAGTCGAAATAGCTTAATGTGGCTGTTGGCAGCATCTACATAGCAAGAAGTCAAACGAAGAGCGCGTTCCCTCCAACTTCCCTACGGCTCATGACCTGAAAGTTGCAGGAGTCGGAGTAAAAAGTCCGCCATCTCGAAATTATTTCGAAATAACGGCTTGCCATGTCAACACCCTCTGTGTGATTTCGGAATCACGCCACGTGTTCTGGAATAACACTGCGGTGCTG